TGGATGCCAGTTTGGGGGAGGGTGCTGAGCCTTTCATAATCTGCTGAGTTAAGTTCTTTGTATACTTTGTCTTACTGAAGGTTCAGAACCATCCTAAGTAGGAGGGGATCTTACACTTCCTCACAAACTCACTGAAGTTCACTAGTTTCCCTAAGGTCAACAGTGTGAGTAAAAACCTCAGGTTTGGCTCTCCAAGGCCCTTGGTCCATTACCATCAGCATTATAGAGTATTCCATGGCTGCAACCTCCACATAGAACAGAGAAGGAAGGCCATGTGCATGGAGGCAGTAAGGGGACAAGTATGCCAGTCACCAGCCCCACTGGGACACAGAAAAAAGTCTCAGTGCAGAGGTAAGGGCAGGCAGGGAGGTGAGTGTTTATTATTAAAATATAAACCTATCAGCCTGGAATCCAAAATCAGGCTACTTCAACCTCTAGTGATTTGTAATACATAATAAATCAGCCCTGCCATGTTTCTATCCCTGTTCCTTCAGGAGAAATGAATTGCATACTGTCCAGCCAGTGACCAGGAAGGTGGGGCCTCCAGCCATTTCCTTTATCCCTATCCACCTAAACACTGCTGACTTTCTCTCCTTGAAAACGTCCAAATGGAAGTGTTCCCGCCTTATCCCTCCCTCATACCCAGGGTTCCCAGCTGAACAGATCCATTGAATTTCTGCCTACAGCAACTTAATGTGAGACCACAACCAACTCCGAGGGATTAAAGAAATTCTTTTGGTTTGCTGAAATCTTACATTAAATATTCTTGGAAATAAGTAGGCCATAGGCTAACACTATGAAATCTTTCACAATAAAGATATTCAGTTAGTAATACAACCATTGGTACAGGATCCGACCTCAATAGGGAAAGAAACTAAACAGCTTTCTCAGCCCAAGCTCTTTGAGGCTGGATGGTGCTAAATCTCCAGGGAGAAATTCCAGCTCTCTAATAAAAGTTTAAAGACCCCCACATCCCTCCCATCTGAAGCACTTGCTAAGAAAAGCAAAGAGGAGAAACACTCAGGGATGTCAGAAAGTACACAGACTTCAGAGACACAGGATGGGAGTCCTCAGTCTGACTACTCCACTAACTTACAGCATGACCTTAGGAGAAATTGATGGGACTCAGTGTGTTCATCAACGAAACGGGGACAAAGGAGCTCTCAGATAGACACTATGCAGAGTGACATGAGATGAAATCCGCAAATGCACTAGGTCCATTCCTTGTCTCATAGTAAATTCTTAATGAGTATTAATTAGCCTTTCCTTTTCTTTGTTGAGACGTGAGCATGTGTGCATGTATGTGCTTATGTGCATATGTGTATGTGTGCGTGCGTGCGTGCATGCGTGCGTGCATGTGTGTGTGTGTGTGTGTGTGTGTGTGTGTGTGTGTGAGCCTGCATTTGTGTGAACATACACCCATGTGCAGGTGAAGGACAGAGGCAAACTCCAATGTCATTCCTCAGGATCCGGTTCTGTTGTTTTTGTGAGATGGGCTCTCACTGGCCTTGGGTGGCTATCAAAGAAGCACAAGCCTGTCTCTCCCTCCCCGGTGCCAGATTACAAAACCAACATGTCTGGCTTTTTTACATGGGTTCTGGAGATCAAATGCAGCAAGCACTTTACCAGCTAAGCAATCTCTCCCCTAGAGACTTGTATTCTTATTGCAATTTGCTAAGCATCTGGTGATGGGGGTGGGGGTGGTTTGGTTGATTTGTTTTGGTTGTTGTTGGACTTCTCACCCAAAGGTATAATAGAAAGATTCCTGAGAAGAGACTCTAAGAACCTAAGCACGCTTCTACTTCCACTCCTTACCAATAAGACTCTCTGTGCCTATGAAACAAAGCTACCTACCATAACAGCCACCAGGATGGCTGTGAGAACTTGGTGAGATGAAGTATATGGAAGTTCCCTGGAAACCAGGAAGTGCTCTAAAAGGAAAGGAAACACCATCACTGGAACACAGACCATAGAACGCACCTACATCACTTTCCTCATGAGGACACCGCCCTGGAGATCCAGGCTGTGTGTGAGCCTCCCTACAGAAAACAACGTTCTTAAAGGGGAAAAGAACTAGCAACAGAAGTTAGTCTCAGAACATTTGGGGGATGGTCTGTATTCAACAGTGTTAGTAGATGTGGTCTCTAAACATTTAGAAATAAGAAAGTTATAGACTTACTCCTTGCTGAGGACACCTGGGATGAGCAGCATCTAGAGTGGTCTACATAGAGTCAAAAGCAAGAGAGACTGGGTAGAGAGAAGAAACAAATGTATCCAGGTTGACCCATCCACATTCAAGGAAAGAAGACAGTAGCTATTGAAAACAGGTATATTTCAGGCGCAAGGGTAGTGAAATGTGTGGAACAGAAATCTAGCTGTTCCAGGATAAAGATGGGTCAGGGAAGTCACTAAGACCATCTTATCCCTCCCATCGGGTTCTGTGATCAGCAACAGCAGAACACAATATCATTATCAGTAAGCATCATTTCTAAACTCTACTTGCTGGGCTAAAAGTCGTACTGAACATTAGCCATGTAGTCTTTGCCTAGAACAGGCACTGCCCTTATTCTCAATTTGTAACTTAGCAAGCCATTATTCCCATGATCAAGTTGAAAAGTCCTTGTCCTACCCTCAAGGCTCTTGGGATAAGCAAGAGGGTTAAAAAAAAATCCAGTCCTTCATAAAAGGTCTTTCTGAATGTATTCACCAATATCTCATCTGTCCAGATCCAGCAAAATAGAGAAGGAAACTGAAGTAGTCAATAGGAGACGGTCACTCAAGACAACCTAGGGTTCCAATGTCCCATTATGCTTGCTGCCAAAACTTGACCTTGACATCATAGGCTCATTTTCTGATGTGGGGAAGAAAGAATTATACTGGTGACAGGCACAGCTTCAGGGATGAAGGGCAGTTGTGTTGCCCCCATCAGATGACTGAAATGACTTGGGCAAGAATATCATTTCCTGCTTCTTATTTTGTACAGAGGGAAGAAGAAACATCTTCTCGGCCATTTCCCTTTAAAGGGGGGTGGTGTGGAGAAAGAAAGAAACAGCCGCCAAGCCAGGGCTTGGCAATTAGTGTTGGAGTAAGTGATCGCCTTGTGATTGCTCAGCTGGGGCCTGAAGACTTGTAAATGCATTTAGAAGACAGAAATAGAAGACGTTGTGAGAGAGCAGCAAAACCTGGACCATTTGCCAGGAGAAAATGTCCCAAAGCTGACGGGAAATTCACTCAGTAGGGATTTGGGGTGTGTCTTCATAAATGGATGAAGTTCACTCACAAAATCTATAGATGAGCCAGACTGTGTGTCTTGCCCTATGGTCTCTGCTATCTGTGACCTTCAGGCTCCTCTGGAGTCCCCACCATGTCTAATAGAGCCCTTTAAGTGGTTGCTGATGATTAAACAAACAAAAAGTCTGGTGACATTGGACTGCACCTCACATAACAGTAGTCAGCTGGAACTGTCACGTGGTTCCATAGCCCCAACTGTTCCCACCTGATTGGCCAGACGCATGTAGTTTCGGGGACCTCTGTGTGTTGTGAAAAAGGAGACGTCTCAGATATCACAAGCTCTTTCCCTTGGGAACTTTTACAATGAAACTCAAATCGGCAATAAAATAAACACCTGGAACATCTGGTCCAAGGCCCTTCTCTGGTCACAGCTATACCAACGGCTGAGAAGAACACACACATTGGGAGAATCATGCCACTGGGCGTAAACCAGGGCAAGGGAGCAAGAGCTGAGTTAGACAGTTCAAAGGGAGCTCTCAGCCCCCCATTGTTAGTACCTACGGCCCCCCAGCAATGGCCAGGGAGCTTGCTATTTCCAGAGGAAAGAAAGAAAATTCAACACAAAGCACAAGTGGCTGAAAGAGATAAATAACTATTCACCCTGTGCTTGTGAAAATGCACAGACCTGAGAGTACAGCCAGGACCTCTGCGAAAAGAAACCACTCCCCAACCATAATTGTTCGGGGTCTCTTTCGACCTCTACATCCCCTGCTCACCACTTCTTCACAGCATCCCATTAGAAGCTCTGCTTCTTTATAAGAGATTTCGACCCAGCAAGTTGCCTTCTGTCATCAAGTGCCAACTACAGTGGCCAAAGAAAGATTAGTCAACCTACCGGTAGGTCTTATGTTTCCATCCCACGTGCAACAGGTCCCATGCCATGGAGTTCATGAATACTTTCTGCTCTTTGGGGTATAACCCCTGAACACCCGTGAGGCTATTCTTCTTGAGAAAGAGCTGACCCAGACAAGTATACCCCTGTGGAGGCATCAGTTGTCTTGTTCTTGATCACATACTGTAGGCTTTCTTTCATGCTCCCTTGCTTCATAAGAAACGACTGTGTTCCCTCCAAATCTCATAGTCTACCTACCTAGATGTAGACTAGGAGAAGAAACAATTACATGTGTGATTCCACTCCTGCAAGGTCTATACAGAGCCACTACCTAAAGAATTCATTCCATGGCAAGGAGAGGATATAGAGTGAGGGAGGCACAAAAAGACAGATACCCATGAACATGTGCTCACTGTCTTAACCCAAATCAAGACCTATTATCTTATGCAGATATTTCCATTCCTCAAAGTTCTTCTGTATTGAATCTATGCTCTTCTTATACTTAGTCTGGTCTTGCTTTCCTTCCTGCCATCCCCAACATCAACACATACACACCACTACAATCTTACATATATTCTCAGAAGAGTCATGTCCATACCATATTAAGGCCCTGTCATTTATATTCCCACAAAGCTGCAAATTACCTTATTAAAAAAAGAAAGGTTCAAACTTGCTAGACAGGAGAATCTCCCACTCAGCCCTGGCTTCCTTCTACTAAAAACCTTTGAGATTACCAAATCCCAAATGTTCATGCTAAGGAGATAAAACTGAAGGCCTAAGAAAGTTAAAGGATTTGGCCAGGGACAACAAATACCACAGCCAACCTCATTGTCCAAGACTATCTCCATGCATTCACCCCTGCGCCTTCTCCCAAAATCCAGTTCTACTCACATATAACGCAAATGGGGGTTCTTGGCAAAGGCCCTGGGCTGGATGTTCCGGAGTCCAGAGTTCTTGATGGTCCTAAGTAGAGAGAAAAAGAAAGAAGGTTGGCAGAATCCCAGGGGTTACAGCCAAAAAGAAGGCAAACCCTGTGAGTGGGCTGTAGCTCTCTTCATCACTAGTCACCCTAGCTGGCCAACTGTGGGTTCAATGAGAGAGATAAAACCAATTCCTTTGGAGAACTAGATAAAGGTTGGAATATGAGCAGATTATTGATTGCAGCTACTCACTTCCCATCCTGACCAGTAGTTGAGAACTAGAGTTCCTGGTGCTCCAGAGACAAGGAGATTTCAGTGCCTTGTGCCTTCTCCTCCTCACACCTGGTGCCCCGTGTCTAAAGCTGAAGTTCCCTGCAGTGCTGAATGACAATCTGACACTGGGGATGCGGTGTAGGGGTTGTGCCAAGCACAGGACCGAGAAAGACCACAATCCCAGCAGGCACTGGGGGCAAGGCTGCCTTAAGACCCTAACCCAGGCCTGTTCAGACTAAGGTGGCCCCTGACAATCCCTAAATAGGTGATGCCAACCATTCCCAAAGAAAATTCCTGAGAAAAAGCACTGAGGCAAAAGTCTTCCCATTACTGCTACTTCACCACAGAAGATGACAGGCAGCAACCCAGTTGTTCCTTAGCAAGCCATCCCAGCATACTCACAGCTTCTGGAGTCCTGTGTAGAGCTCCATATCCACAGCATTAAGGGTGTGCAGGCCTCGCCAGTTCTCTATGTGTCTGCAGGAAGAGAGGAGAGGTCAGAGCACTGAAGCCAGGGGCGGGGTGCCAGCTTCACAGTCAGACATGAACTTGAAGCCTGGAGCATAAGCCGTGACTTCTGACAAATCACCAATTAACTATGAGCTCAGTTTCTCCCTCTGGATGGACAGGAATGAAGGACTCAGTTTCTAAGTGTGTAGCCTGAGGATGGAGTGCTCAGTATCCATCCCCAGCTCCAGAACATTCAACCCCATTGCTCAAAGTTTTGATTCAATTTACTTCCTTCTTATTCCTCTTCAAGATTTTCTTTTTCTTTCTTTCTTTTTTTTTTTAATTTCTTAATGCCTGCATAGCAAGATAATATAAATGACATGGTTTGGGGAATGGGGGTGTAGCTTATCTGAGAGCATGACTTCTGGGCAGACAGGATGAAGAGAAAGACTTACTTGGCGGCGCATTCATCCACCAGGACACAAAAGACCACTCTATCTGCATGACCACAGTTCATTCCATCTGGAGTTCAAGAAAACCAATAAGTAACTCCAGAGATGGGACCCCTAATGACTCAGAGATGCCACAGGGCAGTAGGAATAGGATAACTTAGAAACTCTGGGAAGCAAGTTCAGTTTCGTCTTTGAGACTCCAGTGCAGATTAGGCAAGCATTTTAACCAATTTGTGTCTCTTGTTTCTTTGTGAAGGAGTGGTACCCTACCACATCAGCTTCTCCTCCTCCCACCACAAGAGATCTCTTCCTAAATGCTCCCTCAAGTAATTTCAATTTTAAAGAGGGTTGTATCCAGCAAGACTATATTTACTAAGTAACAACTCATATTCTAAGATTAATCAGAGACAAAAAATCATTTTTATTGACGCTCTTTATCAACAGGTGCGAACCTGTGTGAACTGGGCCCAGGGCATAAACTCCAGCTCAAAGCAAAGATGGTCAAGACTGTTTTTATGATGAGAAGGCTGATCATGAATATGTGTCCACTTTTTGTTGTCCCTCGACACTGAAAAAGGACAAATATTTCTTCGCTGCTGATTTTAGAGTGGCCACGTTGAAAACCATTGCATCGCTAATTACCAAGACTTTTATGTTACTCTGATATTGTATGAAAGATGACCTCCCATGAGGTGCCAGAAGATCCTAGGAAATGATCCATCCAAGCCATCCTGGAACCTAACTCTCCTCGGTATCCAAAGGTTGCAATACGCAAGAGGTCTCAGTACCATTTCAGTAAAGAATACAGTTACCTAAGGCACATGCTAGCCAGAAAAATGACCACCACTTTTCTCCAGACAGCTCCTCCCTATCCCGACCACACCAATGGTTCTGCCATCTGCTGCCCAGTCCAACTGGAGACAAGAAGGCAACAAGGCTGTGGTTGCCAGGACTTCTGGCACCATTTCAGAGCCGCACAGCGACAAGGTATGCCAAGAGCCCATTTTGAAACACATTCTCCCAGAGCCCCTACGGAGCAGCCAGAGACACTGGCATTTGTTGGGGACATTAACCAGGTGGCCAGGTTGGCATTGGCCTCTAACTCTGACACCTTCTCTCTGGAAGCCTCATGGTTTCAAGGCAGTTCTCATGCCCCGGTCTCACCGAGGCAGGAGCACTGACAATATTTCAGATGCAAAGGAAAGCCAAGAGGAATAGGACCACCTGTGCTACTAAGCCCCCCTCCAGTGTATATTCCCTGGGCCATGGGCCATGTCAAATACCAAGAAGATCACAGTGTTTATACAGCATGTTCTTCGTTCAGGGGAGACCAGCTTCCTACATGGATCTGTTTCCAACAAGGAGCTATCAATCAAATTGTTTAAATAAATGAAATCACTTTCTTGGCCCCTATTAGCATTCCATAAATGGATTTTGATGATTGTAGAGATGCCAGCCATTGCATTCTGAAACTTCCTTCATTTCAGTCTTTATGATATATGCTTTCAAACAGACCCTTCCTAGACTTGCCACACACTGAGAAGTGGCAAATGAGTGACACGCTGGTGTAGAGTCCTCCAGGAAGTTAAATAACAGCCAGCCCCCCCACCCCCCCCCCGCATCCTCTTTTGCTTCTGATGCTCCTGAGTCAGGGAGCAGCAGTGTTGCAACCAGATTGCAGAGTATCAAGAAGTCAGTGCTCTGGCATAGTCACTGGCAAACTATGGGGTGGGGCCAAATTCAGCCCATTGTTTGCTTATGTATAGCTTCAAAATTAAGATTCAGTTTCATATTTTTAAAAGCAAATCAAAGGAAAAACTTATTTTGTGACCTATAGAAATTAGATGAAATCTACATTTCTGTGCTTATGATGTTCCCTGTCATCCATAGCTACTTTCAAGTTATAAAGCTGAACCATCACTGCAGAGACCACTTGGCCTGCAAGGACAGGATTTGCTCTCTGGCCCTTGATAGAAAGAGAAAAGAAAAAAAAAAGCTTGCCAGCCCCCTCCTAGAGCAAGGCTGCCAGAATGCTAATCCTAGCCCCAAGAACACTCTACCAAGGACACTCTGTCCACACCACATCACCTGTTTGTGCCTCAATTTTCTCAGCTGTCAAATGGGGATAATAAAATGTCTGTCTCATAACAACATGAAAATTGAAGGATGTATTAAAGAGCTCTTGAGGGACTGGGGGTATAGCTCCACTACTCATCTAGATTACCTGAGACCCAGACTCAATCCCAGTGCCACAAAATACTAAAAATAAATAACAACCAAAAGCCTTTGTAGAACTGGATACACAGAAGTCTTTGGAAGTCACTAACCATGGAGATTATACAAGAAGTCTTTTCTTGGTTTTCAAGTACAAATGCTAGAAGTTAACATTTCTTGGTCATAGTTAATTTAAAAAAAAAGCAGAAAAGTATGGTCATCATTAATTTTAATGACCCATTGTGGCAGAAGGGTAGGACAGGAAACTTACCATTAATGACTTCTAGGAAAACAACTTCAAGAAAGCATTCATGAGTCACCAGGTAAAGGACGCTGGTCACTGGGTTTGACAACCTGAATTTAATCTTTAGAAATACTCCAGATAAAAAAGAGGGAACTAACTCTGATAAGTTGTCTTCATGGAGGAAGGCTTAGTAGCACACACACACACACACACACACACACACACACATACTCTAACTCCTAACAACAGCAGCAGCAGCAAAAATAAATACTTATGTATATTTAAATAAACAGATTTTTTAAAGGAAGAAAACACCCATGGAGGGTGACAGTAGGGCAGAGAAGAAGCATGCCAGTTGAGGTGCTGCCTTGACATTTGCAAATGACATTGCCCATGGCCTGCCAAGTCTTCAGTGACTCACTGCTTGGTACCAAACAAGAGGAGTCACTTATGGTAACTCTGCTGGCTGCTATTAGAAGGCCACAAGTTTCAGTGGGAGAGGCTGGCTCTACAAAGTATAGTAAATGAATAGCATGAGGTAAGAGAGTACAATTGGCATGGTTTCATTAGTGCCAAATAGGGAAGGCAGAACCTAGTGCCAGTACATAGGGTTCTTCATGTCTGGTGCTTTTTCTGGGTACTCCAGTTCAATAAGTATGCATTTTTTAAAGGAAGGTCAGGGCTTAAATAAAGGATTCGTGACAAGAGCTAGATCGGTTCTTCCTGCAGATGTCTCACAAAGCCTGCTGTAGTGTTCAGAGGGAAAAGAGCTCTCGTGGTGATCGTAGGAAGATGGTGACAAGTAGAGTCCCCACAGGGACCCACAGCCTTTCATCCACCTGGAGTCACCTGTTCCAATCAAGGACAAGGAGGAGAGGGTAGAGAGATCCCAAAAGTACTTGGGTTCTCTCCCTTGCCTTTTATCAATTGCCTCCTGATGGGAGAGGTCATTCTGTATGTTTCTCATACTGGTTAATAATAAAGCACTGTTGGCCAATGGGAAAGGAAGATAGGAGGGACTAGGAGACAAGGAGGAAATAGGAAGTAGGAAGGAGGAGTCAAGACGGAGAGTCTGAAGAGAGCAGTATGCCGCCGGCTCCCCGGTAAGAGAAATACATAGATCAGCAGAAATGGGTTAATAATTAAGATAGAGCTAGCCGATAAGAAACTAGTAACTGGCCAACAGGATAATATCAAATACAGAGTCTCTGTGTATTATTTGGGGCTGGCGCAGCTGCCGGACAAGAGTGGCGGCGGGTGGAAAAAAAACGATACTCGTTACAGATGGTGCCCACGTGGCTAGTAAGAACTTCCACTTAAAATTTAACAAAAGCTTAAAAAAGGGTTTTAGAAACAAAAGAACAGAGACAAGCAAGGTTTCTTGGTAGCAGCATTTTTCTCAGTTGAACTCTGCTTTGCTAGAGACAAGCAGATATTCGCGCGGCTCCTTTAAGGGAAGGTTCCTGACTCAGCATAAACGGCAAAAAACCGCACAGCTTTTAAATAACTCTGCTAACAATTTATTGTTGTGTATGAGAGATGGCAATGGCAGTGACCACATCTCCAAGCCAGCAGCATGCTTTCTGGGTGGCAGCGCAGACCAAGGCGGTGAGCACAGCTTTCCATGCTGGCGGTAAAAGTACCCGCCACCATCTTTGGTAAACCGCGGCTGACACAGCTATGACTTTCATTTTAACAATGTTGTTTACCAGATAAAAGACTTGTGGCCAGACAAAGATAAAGGTTTACAGTAAAGACAGATTCATATTAAGAAAAACCTCTAAAGGTTTACAGTGTGTTTTAAAATATATGTAGACAAAAAAAAATGGTTTTAAAGAGACAAAGAGGAACTGGGTGTTGTAGCACACGCCTTTAATCCCAGCACTCAAGAGACAGAGGCAAGCAGATATCTGTGATTTGCAAAGTAAACCTGGTATGCAGAGTGAATTCCAGGACAGATAAGAGTTACACAGAGAAACCCTGTCTCAAAAAATAAAAAGTAAAAGAAACAGAGTAATAATAAAGCCACATAAAGATGAAAAGCTCAGAGAGAATCTGGTTACTGTATGCTATTGTGTTGTCTCTGCATTCTTTGACTACTGAGAAAATAACAACAA